CTCATTTCCGTTTAAATAAATAGTTTAATAGTACAAATCTTTTTGTTTCCTTTCTTTTTTTAAACACCTGGTTTATTATTAATAGCTGCGCTTCTCTTCCCCTGGACCTCCCAACTGAGGTTGTAACAACCACATTCACCCATTCACCCACATTCATACAGTAAAAGGCAAATGCCATCAAAAAACTAAAATACAAACCAGCTTTTCTTTCCATGAAAGATATAATGAGTGTATTTGAATAATATCTGGTCAGTTTTTTGGGCAGCTATTTGAAAGAGGCAAGTGTGACACTTTATAGCCAATAAAAAATGTTGGGTGAATATTTTAACCTAGCAATAATATAATTCATAATTTATTTGCCAGTTATTATATTATTGACTTTTATTACATTAAGAACACAACAATTATGAACTTATTGGCAGTTATTACTAGAATAACAGTATTACAGACTTGATTTCAGATTCTCCTCGTTGAATTTTTGTCCTGCACACCCTGTTAATGAATTGATTTTGGTGGGACCTGATTTTGGGAGAGTTCAAGTCAGTAAATGCATAAATCAATACAGAACTAAGTTGGTCATCAAATCGTAGGTACATAAATAAAGTCTTTGAATGGACTCTAATCCGACAGAAAACAGAACATGGTGTAACAACGTCTTTAAAAGGTCCATTTGCAAGTGCAGCTCTCTCGCTTACGGCCATACCACCCTGAGCACGCCGACTCTCGATCTCGGAAAGCTAAGCAGGGTCGGGCCTGGTTAGTACTTGGATGGGAGACCGCCTGGGAATACCAGGTGCTGTAAGCTTTTTCATTTCTGAGCATACAGCAGAGGCTGCTGCTTCTTCACTGTACACAGAACGTTGTTCAGATATTTTTTCCTTTTCAAGACAGTGAATTCATTTGATTCTACTATTGTTATTTCATTGTTTTGTTGTTGTTGTTGTATCACTTGTCCACTGCAGGATAATATCTAAACTTCATTCATCAGGACATGTTGAATTTTTGTCCTGCACACCTGTTAATGAATTGATTTGGTGGACCTGATTTTGGGAGAGTTCAAGTCAGTAAATGCATAAATCAATACAGAACTAAGTTGGTCATCAAATCGTAGGTACATAAATAAACGTCTTGAATGGACTCTAATCCGACAGAAAAACAGAACATGGTGTAACAACGTCTTTAAAAGGTCCATTTTGCAGGTGCAGCTCTCGCTTACGGCCATACCACCTGAGCACGCCCGATCTCGTCCGATCTCGAAGCTAAGCAGGGTCGGGCCTTGGTTTAGTACTTGGATGGAGACCGCCTGGGAATACCAGGTGCTGTAAGCTTTTTCATTTCTCTGAGCATACAGCAGAGGCTGCTGCTTCTTCACTGTACACAGAACGTTGTTCAGATATTTTTTCCTTTTCAAGACAGTGGAATTCATTTGATTTACTAATTGTTATTATCATTGTTGTTGTTGTTGTTGTTGTTATCACTTGTCCACTGCAGGATAATATCTAAACTTCATTCACCAGGACATGTTGAATTTTTGTCCTGCACACCCTGTTAATGAATTGATTTGGTGGGACCTGATTTTGGAGAGTTCAAGTCAGTAAATGCATAAATCAATACAGAACTAAAGTTGGTCATCAAATCGTAGGTACATAAATAAACGTCTTGAATGGACTCTAATCCGACAGAAAAACAGAACATGGTGTAACAACGTCTTTAAAGGTCATTTGCAGGTGCAGCTCTCGCTTACGCCATACCACCTGAGCACGCCCGA